CGAATCAAGTGAGCCGTTTGAAACGTGGCAGTGTCCCTCGTGTAGACTTCACTGTGTGAACAGCACCAAGCAAATGCAAATGCTTTAGTGGGATCTGCCTTGGAGGTCGTCAACTTACGCAGCCGTCCGTTTCCTTGAGACAAACAAAATACAGCCGCTTTACATTTGTTTTATCGTTATCCAATAGGAAACAGCGTCATTCACCGTATGGTTAACGGAACTCCTCCAGGTACCAAGTGGCTCCCGATAACACTTGTACGGTTCTACAGTGACTGAGGTAAGGCACCATGGGGAATTTTACAGCAATGGACGGAAGGCGGCGTTACCTTAATGTTTAACGAGTAACGATTGCTAGATCATTGCCAGGCCGTCACATTCAATCCGGCTACTAACTTTCGACTGGACAGAAAATGCAAGGAAGTTTATTCGCACACATTTACTCACCAATTCACAGAAGCGATTGATGATTCTACTAGATTTTAGAGTTTCGGATTTTACTTACAGCACGCGTATTTGATTTTTTTTATTCCAGTAGAATTTTGTTCACCTGCTTATGAGCAGGTGCGTAGTTTGATGACCTTTTGAATAGATGGCCCTCTGACGTTTCGTGAGAATGCTTAAAAAATCAATTACCATGTCCTATCTTGACTTCCTGTCGGACCGTTGCACACTTTTTTAGTGCGAATTGGACCAAAACTTCGGAAACGCTCACTCCGGTCACCGGTCGTGGGCCGCAGAAGAATTTTCAACAACCTTATGAGTAGTGCACTACAACTGTACACGTATCAAGATATTTCGAATATTGTAGCGTCAAAAACATGAGGCGGCCTAGTGCAGCACATTCAGTTACCGGGAAACATCACAGACGAGTGATTCAGTTGGGTTTCAGGTGAGTCTCTCAAAAAACCAGATTTGTTTGCAAATTAGTGCATTTCGGTACCTAGGTAGATTAGGAACCTAGACTTAGAGTCTAAGCAAAATGAAAAGTAGATGAAATTAAAATATAATTTAATAAATGGGCTATAATTAACCAATCCTAAATGCTGGGCACCTGAAACTGGTCGCGTTTTTTCTTCGCGAGCTGAGTGAAAGGTCCGGTTGACTAAGGATCTTACAAGATGATTGGAACTATCAGACTATACGCAATTCTTATTGAGTAGGCAGTTAAACATAGAGATATTGGTAGATATACTGTTTTGAGAGCTAATCCTATGGACGTATGGGTTAATAAGCAGGAATTGAGCAGAATGTACAGTCAACAAATAGGGCGATCAGTAGAAGCAGCAAATTCGGCAATGAGGCAGCTGGTTTCTGTATACGGGTGTTCAAACAGTGTAAATAGATCGTATACAGAGATAACGACGCAGAAGGCACTCAGTACGTTCTTGAGTAACTGTAACTTTCTGCGTAAAGGGTATGTGGTTAATTTGGTATAAGTTAAATATACCGACAGACTGCCTGACAAGATAACGAGGTAGCACGTTCCAGGTGTCGAATCAAAATACACGCTTAAGCCACTTTTAAACAAAATACAAACAAGCCCTGTCAGATAAGTTACACTACGACGACTCAAGGAAAATCCAGCTGGCTTAGCGGAAAACGCTTATCTGTTATTCGAGGGATTCCGGGTTCAATCCCCAGCTGACCTGCTTTCTTGTCGGAGTAGGTGCTCGAGTAATAGCTACGTGACACGAAACTGCATGCGAAGATGGACAGACAACAAGTTTCTGACATCAGTAACTAGATGGTAAGCAAAACTTAGGCTGGAGCAAAATCCTGGGGACGAGCAATAGGGGTTAGAACAGCTATAATTACCAGGCGTAAGTCACGCTATTCGTGAGTTATCGTACAAGTGGAATGAGTAACCACCGATTGCCCTTGACTAGCTAGAGGAATCAACACTAACCAAACAAAATCCAATTGAACAAAGCAACATGCCACTGACCCTAAGTGTATATAATTTCCATCATCCCAACCGGAATGACCTTTTCTGTAATAATTTCCTTGAAACTGAACAATATCAATGATGGTGGAAACTGTCGGTGGTGGCGAAAGTGGTGGTGGAAAATGTCGTCCATGGAGTCATTAACACAAGGTTCCAGGTCACAAGATTTGGAAGCCAACACGGGACTAAAAGTGAGTCACGGTCTTGTGCTTTGCTTCTAATAGCTGGTGATAGTTGCTTACCAACCTTCCTATCTACCCCCTAGTAATTGTGGGTTTGAAGCATTCTTATGCGCATTGCTCTCGTTTTTGTTCTTTTCCACGTACGACGAAAACTAGTGTAAAAACTTCATGAAGAACTAGAGCACAAGACGCATGCTAACAGATCGAGCTAGGATGTTAATTGTTCACTTGTTCGTTGAACACAAATTGTCACAAGACGAGGTAATATCGGCTAGTCAGTAAATGATCACAAGCCAGTCATTACTCCACGGCAACCTAACCGTCTTTTATTGTTGCATCAAGGTTGGGCTGTTGTGACGTAACTCCTGCTAGTCTAGGATCAAATATTTGTTCCTTTATTCATTATATGGAAACTCAGCTTCATGCAGAATCAAACAAGGCCTGAAGCTGTTAGATAACATTGTGTTGACTCCGATATCTGCTCGGGACTGATACAGAGATAAGCAGGCATGAATACGTGTGCCTGGGTTATTCAGATGTGAACTCAGGAGTGAAATTTTGCTTATTGGCTAATGCGCGTGGACATTAGAGTAATTATACAGAGACTCTTGCCCACGGTTACACATACCTTTGTGAATTTGAAAGGAAATTCTACCTCTTCTATTGCTTGGGGCAATTTCGCGTTGGTCAACCCTTGGTCAATGCATGCAAGGTGTTCTGTCCCACCGGTATTATTGCGAATCTGAGGAATCTCTATGTCTTCAATAATTAGCCTTCGCCATTTGAGACAGAATGACCTCTGATGCAGTTAACTCAAATGCTGAGTGGGGCGAGAAACTTGGGATTACTCCGTTACTTTCGGTGGATTCCACTTTCTTTCCGGAGAAAGTAAGGAAATGGCGCTCAGGGTCTTTTTCCGATATTCATTGAGTCGACGACACCGATGAAAATGCTGCAAGTGTGGTACGCAGAATGACAGGATAAAGACCGCCCAAACTCCTAGGGAATGCTTGTATGTTTGATACTTGTATCAGGGTTACGTTCCTTGAGCTGACAAAGTGGACCAAGTAATTTGTTTAGTACATGGGTCCACTTCTCAAGGATATGTAAAAGGTTCTCTTACGAAAAGAAACTTTATCATAGGCTTTCCCGTTCCTCTGGCCACCAAGCCACCTTCGAGATGAAACACCTAAAACGATGCACCTCAAAATACAGGCTTTTAAGACACAGCGCTTACGGGTGTACTGTTCCGGGAGGGTGTGTTTTCCGATTAAAACACTGTGGGATTTAGGATGACGTATCGAGTGATTTTTGGGAATTACCATCACATAGATAATCTTACCAGTAATTACAAATGTGCCACGTAACAGTGTAAAATGATACCTGTCAAGCGGTTAAATGATAGTAAACTTGGTGTCTACTTGTAAATATGGTTGGCTGCTAATAAAATGCGCGGTGCGTGAGCCGTGTGCAGTTGTGCTTTGTTTGCGCTTCTCTGCTCAAGGCAGAAAAACGAGTAAGTTGACGGAAGAAAATATTTTTTCTGGTTCTCTCGGCAATGGCTGTACGCAAGTGTAGTACCGACAGGGCACCAAAAATATAAAGGAAAGACACTGGGTTTTTAACTGAGGACTGGGGTCAATCTCAAGGCAGTGGATCAGCGACTTTTCGCATACGACTATAGCAGCGTTCAGCCTTTGAGAAATACGTAATTACAAGTATCCTAACCATTAAACTGGGAGGGTTTGTGTCGGATTCTCACTTCTTCTCTAATTTGTGTGGAAGGTATTTTATAAAATATATCGGATACTCCGGAGTTGGGAAGATGCGCAGCTCTCTGCATGATCGTAAGCTATATTTACTTTGTGCTTGTCCCGAAATCCAGGTTTCATGAACAGTGGTATCTGGAAAGATGATGTCTCTGGTGTGATATTTCGGGTACGGAGTGTCTCGGGAAGTATTATTCACGATTTAGTGCCTGCGGAGTTGTGCTCGAGGTCTAGCACTACGGCATCATTTATAAGAAAATTAGACAATTTTCAACACAAATTTTGTCAGCAACTATTTTGTCACAACTATTTGTGAAGACCGAAAATCTTGCATAATTACCCCCCCCCCTTTTCATTGATTGTATATGCTCTAACACACATTTGACTTAATTTTGATTTCTTTTCCTGGACTGTGCTACTTTGATTAGAGCCATCATTTGGAATGTAGTGTAACTGGTTCAGCTGTTGACCCAACGCAGCTTACATCAGATGGAATGCTTTTTGAGTGGTCNTTGTGAAGACCGAAAATCTTGCATAATTCCCCCCCCCCCTGTTCATTGATTGTATATGCTCTAACACACATTTGACTTAATTTTGATTTCTTTTCCTGGACTGTGCTACTTTGATTAGAGCCATCATTTGGAATGTAGTGTAACTGGTTCAGCTGTTGACCCAACGCAGCTTACATCAGATGGAATGCTTTTTGAGTGGTCTGACGAAACATATGCAGTAAACCTGATATTAACTTGCGGAATGCGGTTCATCAGATAAAGTAATGGCTTCAGATTCAAGCCGCCGTGTGATCTTTCAAAACCATATTATTAACAAAATAAACCATTTAACAATCCTGCTTCTGTCTATCTCATGTTAAAACTGGCTTTACTTTATAAACTTTCAAGCATTGCGTCTTTTGATGAGTAACATTTGCAAACGTTCTTTCCATCCAGTAAACCCAGGTGTTTGACTCACTACAGTTAAAAATGATTAACATTTCTAGCTGGCATTCTATTGTAAAATCGAAGGTACAACCAATTCACTGCACAGACCAGAATGAAACTCGTGGTTAACAGTCCTCAGAAAAGGAAAGGTAGAACAGTCATCGCCTCAGACCAGTGGAAAGTTTGCGTAAGATGCTATCCCACACATATTATTGGCGTTGCGAAGGAGACGACCGTAGCCTTTCTCGCCCCAGTTAGTACCCCAGCTGTTTTTAATCAACCAATAGGGTGTTCCATTGTCAGTCCCATAACCGACGACCAACATGGCGTGGTTGTTTTCATATCTGTCGGTCTTGCAATCCGATTCCGAGATGATACCTAAAATGAGTAGTTATAAACTTTATAGAGAAAAAGGGAACATTGCAATTGATCAAACGATAAATCTGGTGTTTCACAACTTCAGTTACGTTCGGAATTAATAAGCCTTATTTCTAATCGGCTTGTCGTTTTGGCGGAATACTCTAGACGCTTTGTCCTTGGAACCGAATAATCAAATCTTCCAGACCAAGAATGATGAAGTACTTCTTTGAAAACTGCTCTTCCTGTAAAAAACAAGTCCGTGTGACGTTCACCAAACTTTTCAACAGGGTTCAAACATGGACGCCTTCAAGCCGTCGAACTATATCAACTTCGAGATCTTTTAATGCACCAAGCAGCCTGGTTGTACCTCATGCTAGCTTCTGTGTTTTATTACGGTCGCTTTGAAACAGAACAGGTGTTTTGGGTTACTGACGTGCGGATGTCACCATACGAACTTAAACTGTGAATTCTGCTGAGGAACGCGTCTGACGGAAAAAAGACTCAGAATACTTAGCAACTGCTCCGAGACATGCTTTATTCCCTCTGAAGAAAAGACTTCACTCGCTTGGTTCTTCCGCGAAAAATTCTTGTATCCCATAAATATAAATTATCAAAATTTTCGTGGTTTTGTGATCTTGTCGTTACCAAAATCGGCTGTTTAATCTTTGTGGTGTTTTGTCAATGGATATTCATTTGAACATCCCGTCACCGCTAAGAGATAAAAAGGGCATCATGTTTTTTTAATTGGCTTTACGGGGAAACCAGACACGCACAATGCAGATGTGTAGATTTTTCGTTGCTGTTTCCCAGGCTACTTCGCTCCTGTATCCGTGCCCGTGTGTACAGCCGTCGCTCTAAATAGCTCTGCTTTTCTTGTGAAACAGAGAAATGCCAGTCCTTTGAAGATGTAGTGGGTTCCGGACGTCTAACACCCTTGTTTCTTATGTAGCTGAGGAAAACAATCAGGAATTTAAGCCATCTCAGTGCATGAATGGCCAGGTTCTTATTTCAACGAATCACTGATTATCACGAGAGTATGATATTCCAACGACTAATGGGGATGACCCTCCTGAATTTTTGTGGGAAACCAGAAGGCCTGATTAAGCTAACAGACTATGAGGACGTGGAGTCTTCAGAAGAAAAGAAATTGTTCATCAAACTGTTTTCTTTACGATCCATTCAATTTTCCAACAAGAAATTTGCGATTGAATTCAGCAGAAGATCCAGTTGGTGCCTTCTTAATGAAACTGATAAATCAATGAGGAAACTGTGATTGAGTGCACCAAAGCACCTCTCTGTAAATCAGCTTAGGGCTTCCAGTCCGTTGACCTACTGCCCACTAAGTTATCGCTTTATCGATTATTACCAGACTATCCAACTCGAAGCAAAATCCTGCTATTGATCATCCAGAAACGAGATGGAAATTGGTAGGCAACAAGGTTGCAAGATGATTTCAGTCTTTAGAGAAACGTTCCTTCTGAAAACGCAAACATTTGGGTATATAGTTGAATATGACGATGAATAGGCAAATTACTACCTGTGTCAACACGTGTCATCCATTGAAATCGGAGCTTGGATACAGAGACGTGACTATGAAGCACAATATAACACCGGCTACTTTATCTTCACTGTAAGTAAAAAAAAGTGTTTAACAATGAAGCTCATTTTGTTTTACCAACTGAACTACTCTTAAGCATTCAAAAGGGTCCAAACAAAAAGTTTATAGGCACGTGTTGCAACCTTCGCCTTCATGGAGCACCAATGACAATATTTTGGTGAACTCAGCAAAAGAAGTATTCCCAATATCCTACTGGAAATAATGCCGGCTAATCTAGGTCAAATCCGAAGCCAGTAAAGACCGAAGAGTTCGGTAGTACATTGATGAAATTTCGGTAGATAAGCAGCAAAACACCTCATCTGTGGGTCATTCCGAAGGAGATTTTACCAAAGGAGGAACGTTACGAACAGTTAACAAATCTGTAAAAAGACGACTCCTGCGTGTCCAACGTTATTAATCAAAATTATAGTACTGTACACTTGCAGCTAGATGGATCAAGTTGCTGGAATAGAGTCATTAATGGCTAAGGAAGGATAAAACTCATCTCACAAACAAAAATGTCGATGACGGTTGGATGGCCTTACACCTCACAAAACAAGCCGGCCTAGTCTGTCGGTCTAAATAATTCATGATCTGCTCTGCAAAGGCAACCCCTCAAAACTTCATCAATTTGAATCAGGCAGAGAAGTACACAAACTGAGTGACGAAAAGTCTGAATTGGATATGAAAAATGAATGAAATTCAGCAAATGAGGGTGTAAGTTCGGCAAGAATTCATTTCCTACGCATGGCCTTATCGTTGTTCTGGAAGATATGATGGGTGAATGGCTGGAGAACGAGAAAAATGTGAGAGCTGCAGCCCTGATAAAGTGTTATTCCAAGCTGGCCCCACGTAGCTTACAGCTCCTAAAGGAATCCTGAAAGAAATTTCACTTTAAGGAGGAAGATGGATACACCTTAACTGAATACATGACGTACATACATTCACTATTATTAAGACGGAATATACATAGCGTACCTGTCCACTGAATGACTCGCCAGTGAAAAGAAACCTACCAAACCAAGGAAGTTACAGCTTTGATCATTGTGACAGAAGACTTTTCAGCTCACGTGCAGATCACGTGATTCAATAAGTCCAGTGAGGTTGGCTGAAGACCGATCAGATCACAGTCAGATGAAGCGAACTCTCTTATGAATGGGGGATAAGACAGACTAAACTTGAATGAACTGACGTTCCGACAAATGAATTTGTGGTCATAGAAATTAGAACTAGAAAATATTCTCGAGTTAGGGCTGTTTACCTCAGACCATTCTTATTCTCATTGCATTGGTTACTCGACTTACCAATTTGAGTTGGTGGCAACTTTTTAGGAAATCAAATCGTATGTATATGTTTGGTGCCGGATAATATCGAAAACTTGAACAAGGTTACCATTTTTGACGGTCAGTGTGCAGTTTTATAAAATTTTGACTAGTATCTAAAGGGTCCTGATTTTAGGTAGTTTCCTCTTTCTTGTTTTCCAGAACCTGATGGCTGCCTGTTGAAAAAGCCGGAAGGGTAGTTCAGTGTATAAGTCCTCAACTGGCCACATAGTGCTTTATCAGGACCAACGGACTCCACAGAGTATCCGACGAAAATTGTCCAGATAGATTTAACAACTGCTCCGGTTTTGGGTGAACTGCCAGATAAAAAAAGGGACAATGCAACCGAAACTTTTATCGACTAACCCCCTTTGTAGTCAGACCAACTGGTATACCACGTATCGGCTCCGACAGCAACAGGTCCGTAAAGAGCGACCACCTGTTTTAGGATTTCTTCGTCTTGCGGAACATTCACATATCCCTCAATGCTCACTGCAACTTTATTTTTATCAAATTTGCAGTCCTGCTGTTTGCCTGTTATGCCAGAAACATATTTGTAATCTGATTCCTTCTCCACACCGCCAACATTCTTGACGTAGGAGAAAGCTATTGGGGGATGTCCACCGTCGCAGCCCAGATTACCATTGGCCGAACAGTCGACCAACTGTTGTGGTGACAAACGGTAGAGTGTGTTATGGTGAAGAAACGCGTGCCCCTCTATCGCTCCAGTAACCGAGAATGCCCAACACGATCCACATTCTCCTTGATGTCTGACCGGCGTCACAGCACCCTTATCTCGCCAATCCACCGATTCCGGTGCCTCGAAATCAAGTTTTCTGTAATGAAAACTGGGCGCGGTCGTAATGTTATTACTGAAAAGCTTTTGACCACAGCACGCGCGTTTCACTTCTTCAATGGTCTAAATGAAATTTAACCGTATGGTCAAGTACAACTTACCTGGTCACTGAATTGATTGATTCCTTTCTCATACGTAAACTTGCCTCTGCGAAACGCTTTGTTATGTTCCCGCACGTCTATAAATTTTTGACAAAATAATCCATATCTTTTATCATGCTCTTGCTCATCTGCATAAGACTTGTTGAATTCCACCTTGAACTGATTCCATGCCACCGTTATGATATATTTCATATCTTCGTTGAGGAGCTCCAAACAGTTGCTTGGAGAAATCTTCGGGATGAGATCACTCTTGTCTTTGGTCATAAGAAGAACATCCCAGTCGTAGAGTTCAGGGGATGTTTTAACTCCAAGGAGCGCACAGATACAAACCAAACAAATTGAACTAAAAAGCATTTTGACGCATCTGCAGGAAACACATGAGCTAGGGGCGATTAAATAGCGTTCCGCCTTGTCAATGAGATTTGGATTTGATTTTAACCAATCCGCGCTCTTTGTTGTCAGTTAATTCCTATACTTACTCCCATACCCATGCAACTATATACCAAAGAAAAAATCAAATGTACCTACAACAGACGATGTGAAAGCATCAGGACCTCGTTGAAAAGGTTTAGCGAAGGCACGGTTATAAGAAATTAATTGTGTAAAAGCAGTCTCATTGGGTCAAATTATGGCTAAACAGCCCCGTGCTGTCCTCCATCGAATTGGCCAAAAATGTTCCTGCCTCACCTGTTGCTAAGTAGTATGAAGCTGCTGGTTGCTGGCAAGCTGATTGGTTTGAGCTAATTTTCAGTGAAAACTCCTGCATTAGAAGCTGAAGGTAATCCTAAAAATAAGTTTGAAAGAAGCGCTCTCTCCATCGTGCTACCTAGTTTACCAAACTCCTCATTCACTCCCCGCAAGACGACAAAATATGGAGAGTTTTGGCTCCGCGCCCGAATTCGCTAGATCGCTATCGTCTTAAAGACGATTTTACCGTGTTCAGTGATTCACAACCTTTTCTCCCCGCATTTATAGCTACTCATGCAAACATACTTTACCTCCTTCGACAAATATACCCAAGTGCATATTGGTTTGGTTTTCACGGGAGTGTCAACTGAATCTCTCGTTTATGAGTGTGCCATATTATTCTTCATTTAACACAGTATTCAAGATTTCTCCATACATTTTATAGAGGGAACTACTTTCATGTTTGCTGAAGATTCTTCTGCGGTCCACAACCAGTTTTTGTCCACTTTGTAGCTCATCAGATAGGCGCGGTCTCCGAGTTTCCGTCAAAATTGTGTTCTACTTGAACCCAAATTGGGTGGATTTCGACAACTACACTCATTTGCAACTCATTTTGGTTTTCGCACGAGACAACCTGCCGAGCTCAAGAATGGCCAAACCGGTCTGTCGAAGATTTTTCAGTAGCTTGATGAGTAATATTCTTCATGAATGTATCATCCTGTTCGGTCACAGCCTTTCTTCCAATGATGTTCAGCTTTCGTTTGTCTTATTTCTTCCAATGAAATCATCTCAATGACATATTGCTCGCTTTTGCCTCTGAGTCGTACCATATGCAATCGCAAACTACTACGACAGGTTGTAACCATATCTGGAACAGAAAGTTCATTAACATAGCTCCGCTAGGAATGTATCGGCCTACGGTCTTGGTAGTTGACAGACGTTACACAAACGTGGTCAGAGGCGTTTTAGATCGAAGGGGCTGCTCGCTTCGTTGGTTGCACAGAGTGATTAGCGAGTGGATATTTGAATCAATAGGTCTGGTAAGCGGAACCAAGGAACCAAGTTCATACATAGATGAGTTCTAGAAACTGAAGAAGCCCGTATACATGAGACTCCCATTCAAAGGTGACTCGGTTGCCGAACTAATCACCAGAAGGCTTAGAGACTCTGTTGATACGACATACTTGGCCGCTTATCTGTGTTTGAGCTTCATCTCCAGCCCCATTACCAAATTCCGCTTGAAGGAAAAATTCCCACGTTCTGCCATCGGCTTTTGGTTGTACTCATTTGCACACTCGTGCAGAGCATCATTCGTTAGTCGTACGACAGGGCATTTTTCGGACAGAATGCGAGAACACAATCCCGTATCTCTGAGCGGTAGTGGGAAGAAACCAGGCCCAAGCACGATTGCACCACAGTTTGCCGAAGCCAGTCATGTCCTGGACAAGGAGCAAGCCTTCACCATCGTATACCAGGTACCTTTAAACCGATCTCTACTGGTACGATCCGGACTACTATCGATCACAGAGGCGATTGGAATCCAACTTTGCATCCAAAAGAAAGTTGTGCAACCTCTGAATTTGAACTGGCCCGCGAAACATCCGGTCCCACAAGTCTGCCTGACATTGGCGTTACTTACCCATTGACCTATCCCTCATCCAACCCACTCTCCTTTGATTTCTATTCCTGTAAAGTGTATGTAGCCCCGATCTTAACCTTTCCACGTGATTTCTGGTACCATATAAAGTTGTGATGTATTAGCCAAGAGGAGCAATCAGAAAAAACAAGCTTTATTCGCTACCTTCTTTGTTCTCAAAACTGATAATGATAAGAAATTACTGGTCCATACCAGCTAATTCTGTGTAGCGGCTTTGAAAAAGAAAGTGTCCTCGTGATAGTACGTCTTTTAAGGGTAAGTTTTGGAACTGGGATCTCGAGTAAGGATCGTGTGCATGCAGCGTACAGATCAGCGTTTAATTTACACAAGCGGCTCTTAGATGAAGGAATATCGTATTTCTAGGCTGCTGAATGATGCTTGAACCCGTATTGTATCCAAGCATGTTTGAGAACATCCAACAAATGTTTTGTGAGGTGATGGATTTCACGGTATGGTCTGGTGAATTACTGTCCGAAAGCGCTTTTGTGGATTAAAATTTCACATCTGCTGCAAGTGGGGAGCAGTTCATTCAAAGCATAAACTGACAACTCGTTAAGATGCGATCGTTTGTGAAGGTAACACATTGGGCTTCAGTACCGTTTATCAATTATACACTGACCTGAAATTTAGAGAAGTACTAATGGTGCCAAGAACTGAATTCCTTCTGTCAGTTATTGTTCTACGTAAATCGGATCGGTGTATGGTTGAGCTGAAAATACACCCAATATGCGGGGCTACTTAGACAATATCTGTGAGATATTCAAGCTTCAAAATGGCCTTCCGAGATTGCATGACTTGATATGTTGCAGACGAATCGATTTATTTCCAAAGCACTCAGATTCACCTTATAGAAAGGATGGTCCACACTGGACTGATGAACACCATTATATTCTTCATCCGATACAACAGAGATACTCATGACGTTTTCCCCAAAGTACATTTTCGATAGCCGTTACTTTTACGTCCGCATAAGCAGTTAGAGAAAATATTAGAAAATATGGACGGGCAGATTCCTTATCATTGGTGCACTGGTTGGACTGAACTTATTGACGAAGAACCTGAAGCTGAGATTTGGTTCGTAATCGTCCTCGAGTGATGGATCACCTTTTTTCAAGTGCAGCTTGTCCTGTTACCAGTATCCGATCTACATATTTTATATTCGACCCAAACATATTAAAGCCGTAATCAAGTGACGTAATGATGAGATTGGAGTTAAGCGTTATGAGCGCAGCTGATACAGCATGACATGGTATCGCCATGCTGTTTTTCATTTAACTTGATCTTTTTTGCCGATACTTTGTCCAAACCCGGTCTTTAGGACACTTGACACTATCCGGAACAGAGTCAACTAACACATGAGGGCTCAGTGTCTGTGGCGTCTTCAATGCCATCCGTTGTTTTCGCCGTTTTGCCGCAACCACACTATTGCGATTAATCATGACATTTTTGGTTTCTACTTGAATTCAGGTTGGCAGTGAAATAAAAAGCTGAATTGTGAGTGGAGGAGTGGCAAAAGTAGAGTTAAGTCCACGTAGCATACCTCGGTGAGGCACTTGCGACAGTGACTAATGAAAAGTTTACACCAGGCACTGCCAAAAGTTTCATCGAATATTTAAGAAAGCTCTTTTTCGGGCATCCTTATCTCAGTGGATGCATTCTTGATGTTGCTGTGCATCTGAGTAGAAAATCGTTAAGATGGGCATTGCATGTGGCAACACATTGGTAACATCACTTGGCTTAGTGTGTTGTTCTGATGTGACCATAAAAGAATATCGCAGTTAGGCAGCACGACAAGGTTGTAAGTAGTATTCCGGATTGGAAGGGTTGATCAGTGCGTATACTGGACTAAAGTTGACAGGATTATGTTGGTGTTCGAGAACTAAAGAAGCAAAGTCCCGCACTGAACACGCGATTAGTCGATTATTCTGCCACTTTTGAAGTGAGTCGGTAACTGAATTACTGTTTGTTTGCAAGTGCTCCTCCTCACCCCACCAAAATGTTCCAGATCTATCGTGTACTCTTATCCGGTTTTTAAGTTTCTGTGCATTTACTTTGGGCTGTACTTGTGACACGTCTCTCGACACAGGACTAATCAGGGATTTGACCTTGGTAACTCCGAATATTTTAAAGACAGATACTATTTTCGCCCACACTTCTGATACTCAGAACACTCCCAGATTACTGGATTACCTAGGTTTCTAACAGTCTGGACTGGTTTGATCGGATTTGCCGCTATCAACTGAACTGTGGTTTATGCCCCAGAATATTTGTGCAGCTACCCACTATTGCATAACCACCATCGTTACAATCAATACCGCTTCTAACAAAAAGAAGGGAGTTATGGAGCCATTCTGCTGTGCGTCCTTAGTGAGACTTTTTTAATACCGCCATGAGTGTAAAAGGACGAAACCTGTACAACCGTAAGGATTGAATGCTCTTAAGAAGATTACGCTGGAACTCTAAATAATAGCAGATCCTGGAACAGCTAGTTGACGTGCACACCAGTGGCAGCGCGGCCACCTAGTGGATTGTATGATACACCAATTTATACCCTTTAACTGCTGATGGTGTCAGTTTTAAACCGCACATTAAACGAGGTTCTGCAGGAATTTGCTCCCATTTTGCGAGTTAAACCACTTGCTTTTTCGAGCTGGACGCTGTAATTTATCTCCAAAAATTATAGATTGTTACGCTGTATGAACAGCTACCCAATGTCACAGTCACGTCGCCCATTTTTTTAATTGATCTTTTCTCACGTGAATCTTCTTATTTGTCTCTTCTGGAAAATGATAAGTAAATTTGTTCAAAACAGGGAGGTGGTCTTCATATAGAAGAAGAATTAACCTATGGCTCAAATCGAAGTGCGGAGCTGTGCGGTCAGGTTAAGAGCAATATCACTGCAGGAATGGTCAATGATTTGTGTGTTGCTTGGATTATTTCAAAATGCCTCTTCTTGACAAACACAAGAAAGAAATTTGCCCAACTGAACAACGCAGTAAAATGAAGTAAT